CTCACCATCTACGCTAAGAGTTGTGTCCTCTATGAAGTCCTTGGAGGTGACAGTATGTACTTCAGTGCCATTGACCCTTTGTCATCTCCCTCACCATCTACACTAAGAGTTGTGTCATGTATGAAGTCCTTGGAGGTGACAGCATCTACTTCAGTACCATTGGACCCTTTGTCATCTCCCTCACCATCCACACTGAGTTGTGTCATGTATGAAGTCCTTGGAGGTGACAGCATCTACTTCAGTACCATTGGACCCTTTTCATCTCCCTCACCATCTACACTAAGAGTTGTGTCCTCTATGAAGTCCTTGGAGGTGACAGCATCTACTTCAGTACCATTGGACCCTTTGTCATCTCCCTCACCATCTACACTAAGAGTTGTGTCCTCTATGAAGTCCTTGGAGGTGACAGTATCTACTCCAGTACCATTGGACCCTTTGTCATCTCCCTTACCATCCACACTGAGTTGTGTCCTCTATGAAGTCCTTGGAGGTGACAGCATCTACTCCAGTACCATTGGACCCTTTGTCATCTCCCTCACCATCTACACTAAGAGTTGTGTCATGTATGAAGTCCTTGGAGGTGACAGTATCTACTCCAGTGCCATTGGACCCTTTGTCATCTCCCTCACCATCTACGCTAAGAGTTGTGTCCTCTATGAAGTCCTTGGAGGTGACAGTATGTACTTCAGTGCCATTGGACCCTTTGTCATCTCCCTCACCATCTACACTAAGAGTTGTGTCATGTATGAAGTCCTTGGAGGTGACAGCATCTACTTCAGTACCATTGGACCCTTTGTCATCTCCCTCACCATCCACACTGAGTTGTGTCATGTATGAAGTCCTTGGAGGTGACAGCATCTACTTCAGTACCATTGGACCCTTTTCATCTCCCTCACCATCTACACTAAGAGTTGTGTCCTCTATGAAGTCCTTGGAGGTGACAGCATCTACTTCAGTACCATTGGACCCTTTGTCATCTCCCTCACCATCTACACTAAGAGTTGTGTCCTCTATGAAGTCCTTGGAGGTGACAGTATCTACTCCAGTACCATTGGACCCTTTGTCATCTCCCTTACCATCCACACTGAGTTGTGTCCTCTATGAAGTCCTTGGAGGTGACAGCATCTACTCCAGTACCATTGGACCCTTTGTCATCTCCCTCACCATCTACACTAAGAGTTGTGTCATGTATGAAGTCCTTGGAGGTGACAGTATCTACTCCAGTGCCATTGGACCCTTTGTCATCTCCCTCACCATCTACGCTAAGAGTTGTGTCCTCTATGAAGTCCTTGGAGGTGACAGTATGTACTTCAGTACCATTGGACCCTTTGTCATCTCCCTCACCATCCACACTGAGTTGTGTCATGTATGAAGTCCTTGGAGGTGACAGCATCTACTTCAGTGCCATTGGACCCTTTGTCATCTCCCTCACCATCTACACTAAGAGTTGTGTCCTCTATGAAGTCCTTGGAGGTGACAGCATCTACTTCAGTACCAAAGGACCCTTTGTCATCTCCCTCACCATCTACGCTAAGAGTTGTGTCATGTATGAAGTCCTTGGAGGTGACAGCATCTACTTCAGTACCATTGGACCCTTTTCATCTCCCTCACCATCTACGCTAAGAGTTGTGTCATGTATGAAGTCCTTGGAGGTGACAGTATGTACTTCAGTGTCATTGGACCCTTTGTCATCTCCCTCACCATCTACACTAAGAGTTGTGTCCTCTATGAAGTCCTTGGAGGTGACAGCATCTACTTCAGTTCAGGCATTTGTCCCAGATAATATCGCCCCATTGATGTCTAGATTTCAAAGTAAACCTTGGAGTAAGTTACGTTTATCTTTGGTAGGTCGTGTAAACTTACTTAAGATGATATGGATGCTCCAACTCTGATGTTTTCAATGTTCCTCCCCAGATTAGATTCCTCTGTGGTTCCCCATAAAAAATTGGAGACACTACAACATCCCAGTGATGCTGGAGGATTGGAAGTCCCCAACTCAAGGTTATATTTTTTTGGCAGCTCAAATGCAGCACCTTGCGGGTTGGGAATCTGAAAGACCTCCTAGGGCTGCTCAATGACTATTTTCTTTGATCTTCAAGGGCTGGGCACCATTGCATGCTTTGGAAGGGGCATTGGGGGGCGCTTCATTAACTGCTATGCCTACTTTGTAAGGTGTGGGAGGAAACGAAGACAATGATAGGGATGTCTAACCTCACTAGATATACTGCAATATGGGGAAATGATCAGCTTCCTGAGCTTCTGGTTCTGCAGGGCTTTCAGAGATGGAAAAGATCACGGGTCTCTACCGTAGCACACCCCTGAGAATGGAACCCCTAAAACATCTGAGCAGTTGAGGACAGAGTTTTCGTCACCTCAAAGGTGGTTTTATCCATTTCTTCAACTTCGTCATGTGCTATCAGCTCAATTCTCCTCTGCGGTTGTGTTTTTATTTCCCTCCTCCATCACTGGACAGAATAGTTCAAGCAACATCAACCAAGGGACTTATCTCGGAAACCTATGTAGATCTAGCAAAGAAATTCCTGATCCCGTCCAGGGTAGGATGGGACCAGGATATCAGTTCCCTCTCGCAGGAAGTCTGGGGGAGGATCCTTCAGACCTCCTCTGGTGTCTTGTTCTCCATCACATAGATGAACACACATTTGTATTCTTCATATGGTGTATAGAACCCCTTCATTTCTCCATACCATAGCTATGAAACCTCCCCCACTTCCCTCTCACCCAGGGTGAGTGCCCCCCCCCCCCACTTACTTCTCACCCAGGGTTAGTGCCCCCTGTAGCAATTATGCACACAGAGATGGACGCGGTCATCCAGTTTGCTCCAAACCCTCCATCTTGTATCTCTCTCTCCTCCAAAATCCCCCCTCCCTCTCTGTTGAGTGACATGTGGTCTGTTTGATGCAGAGATCACCGGAAATCAGGCTCAGGGGGAGAGCTCCAGGGCTATAAAATCCCAACTGATCTGGTGCCCAGATGTCTGTTAGCGTCTCAATCTGGGATATCGTAAAGCCATAAAACCAAGTCCTTCACTGAGCTCAAAGACATTCCAGGTAAAGACTTACATAAAAACCAGGCATATATTTTCTATAGATTGGTCACTTTAATACAAGTTGCCTGATATATTACACCCCCCTAGCTGACATCTACAGGAGAGCAGAAAATGATGATATCTCCTTAACGTCACAACAGGTATGGCATATTTCATACATAGACGTTCAGCAGATGCGTCTGCATATTAATCTACTAGTGTGGCAAGGCTGCCAAACGCACCAAGGGTAAGTTATGGGTTCATGATATAAGCGGTGAGGGATTTTGGTTCAAGCTGTGGACCTCTGTCCACACCTCCCTCCCCAAATGAGGCGATTGATTCTCTGCTTCAAGGAGACACCCTGCTGAGTTCCTAGAAAAGCTGTTATGCTTGGAGCAGAGAGCTAAGCTGAATTGAAGTTGAAGAAGCTCCCTTTTAACATCGAAACAAACTTTGGGAGACAGCCCTTTTGCTCAGAAAACCTGAAAGCTGCTTAACTAAGGCAAGTAGTACTCTATCTCTCTAAACTCCTTTCTGTTATCTCTTTGCTGTGTTATTGTTCTCTGTATATATATTTATATATATATTGGCTACATCTTTTCTGTAAATATTTTTATTGCACCCTTTTGACCTTTTAGTAATAAATCTTACTTTCTGAAAGTGTTGAACTGTTTCTAAAGCTCTTTAATGCAAACTAAGCACCCCTGCCTCTGAAGAGAGCGCTACTGTGTGTTTTTAAACGTCTGCATACATCTGCCTGCTGTGACCGTGGTATACAAACGATTATTCAACCATCATAGTGTTATTGCTGATATTGCCGAGTTTTCTCTCTCTCTGTACAAAAAGGAGGTGGTGGCAGTGTGAAGGGTTTAATTGCCTAATTAACCTGACCCAGTAACAATCGCTCCCAGGCTGCCGGTAGACCACAGATTGTGGTCCATTAGCTGGACAATCTTTGTGCAGGTTGCAGGTGCAGCTGGCGTGGCATTGTTACGCAACGTGACTTCGCGGTTTAGATTGGCTAGTCCTTCGGTCACGAGTTTGGTGAGAAGGGCTGGGGTCTGATGCTGCGACTGGCACCCCCCCCCCCACTTCCCTCTCACCCAGGGTAAGTGCCCCCCCCAGTTCCCTCTCTCACCCAGGGTTAGTGCCCACCCCACTTCCCTCTCACCCAGGGTGAGTGCCCCCCCCCCACTTCTCTCTCACCCAGGGTTAGTGCCCCCCCCCCCAGTTCCCCTCTCACCCAGGGTTAGTCCCCACCCCACTTCCCTCTCACCCAGGGTGAGTGCCCCACCCCTTATTCCCTCTACTACCCTCAATATTTTTCCTTTCTCTTCCCTTCCCTGTCGTGACATTTGTCAGGTGACTGTCTGTGCTCTCCTCTGATAGGTGGGGCAGCAGGCAGGAGGAATGGAACTATGTGTCAGTGAGGAAGAATGCCAACATGTTCTGGTGGCTGTACTATGCCGATCACCCCACCAAGAAACTACACCCAGGTGCCGCTTGTCATGTGGCTGCAGGTGACTACATGTCCTGTTTGTCCTTCTGTGTGTGTCCCCGTGTCTGTCCTCCCATGTCTGTCCCCATGTCCCGTGTCTGTCCTCCTGTGTCTCCGTCTCCCGTGTCTGTCCTCCTGTGTCTGTCCTCGTGTCCCGTGTCTGTCCTCCTGTGTCCCGTGTCTGTCCTCCTGTGTCCCGTGTCTGTCCTCCTGTGTCCCGTGTCTGCCCTCCTGTGTCCCGTGTCTGCCCTCCTGTGTCCTGTGTCTGTCCTCTTGTGTCCCATGTCTGTACTTCTGTGTCTGCCCTCCTGTGTCCCGTGTCTGTCCTCCTGTGTCCCGTGTCTGTACTTCTGTGTCTGTGCTGTGCTCCTGTGTCCCGTGTCTGTCCTCCTGTGTCTAGTACCTGTCTTTCCCTTCCTCCTCTTTCCATCCAATCAGCTCTCCTGTCCTCCCTCAGGTGGTCCTGGAGGTTCCGGTTGCGGGTTCGGGAATTTTGCAGAGATTGGACCCCTCGATGTTAATCTGAAGCCTCGAAACAGCAGCTGGGTATGTCACCGCATGGAACGTTCTACAAGCTGTAGGTTGCCATTCTTTTGACCCCTCCCTCTTTCCCACTATATGCTCCTTACACCCCTCCCCCTTTACCAGGCACTGGTCCTCATACTTATCACCCCTCTCCCTGTTCCCACAAAATCCCCATCATCCCTACACCCCTCCCTCGTTCCTGGTACAGGAAGTCCCCATCCTTCTGACCCTCCCCCTTTCCAACTCTATCACCCCGATGCAGTTAGCCATCCTCTTGATCTCTCCCTTTTCCCCATAATAACCCCCAGGTTCCGGTCCCCTAGTCTCCTCCTGACTCCTCCCACTATATCTCCCAGATTCCGGTCCCCGAGTCTCCTGCTGGTTCATTGATATCCCCCAGATTCCGGTCCCCCGAGTCTCTTCCTCGGTTCATGATATATCCCCGAGATTCCGGTCCCCGAGTCTCCTCCTGGGTTCATGATATATCCCCCAGATTCCGGTCCCCGAGTCTCTTCCTGGGTTCATGATATATACCCAGATTCCGGTCCCCGAGTCTCCTCCTGGGTTCATGATATATCCCCCAGATTCTGGTCCCCGAGTCTCCTCCTGGGTTCATGATATATCCCCCAGATTCTGGTCCCCGAGTCTCCTCCTGGGTTCATGATATATCCCCAGATTCCGGTCCCCCGAGTCTCCTCCCACTATATCTCCCAGATTCCGGTCCCCGAGTCTCCTCCTGGGTTCATGATATATCCCCCAGATTCTGGTCCCCGAGTCTCTTCCTCTGGGTTCATGATATATCCCCAGAGATTCCGGTCCCCGAGTCTCCTCCTGGGTTCATGATATATCCCCCAGATTCCGGTCCCCGAGTCTCCTCCTGGGTTCATGATATATCCCCCAGATTCTGGTCCCCGAGTCTCTTCCTCGGTTCATGATATATCCCCCAGATTCCGGTCCCGAGTCTCCTCCTGGGTTCATGATATATCCCCAGATTCCGGTCCCCGAGTCTCCTCCTGGGTTCATGATATATACCCAGATTTCCGGTCCCCGAGTCTCCTCCTGGGTTCATGATATATCCCCCAGATTCGGTCCCCGAGTCTCCTCCTGGGTTCATGATATATCCCCCAGATTCTGGTCCCCGAGTCTCCTCCTGGGTTCATGATAATATCCCCCAGATTCCGGTCCCCGAGTCTCCTCCCCACTATGATATATCCCCAGATTCCGGTCCCCGAGTCTCCTGCTGGGTTCATGATATATCCCTCAGATTCCGGTCCCCGAGTCTCCTCCTGGGTTCATGATATATCCCCCAGATTCCGGTCCCCGAGTCTCTTCCTGGGTTCATGATATATCCCCGAGATTCCGTCCCCGAGTCTCCTCCTGGGTTCATGATATATCCCCGAGATTCCGGTCCCCGAGTCTCCTCCTGGGTTCATGATATATCCCCCAGATTCCGGTCCCCGAGTCTCCTCCTGGGTTCATGATATATCCCCCAGATTCCGGTCCCCGAGTGTCTCCTCCTGGGTTCATGATATATCCCCCAGATTCCGGTCCCCGAGTCTCTTCCTGGGTTCATGATATATCCCCAGATTCCGGTCCCCGAGTCTCCTCCTGGGTTCATGATATATCCCCCAGATTCCGGTCCCCGAGTCTCCTCCTGGGTTCATGATATATCCCCCAGATTCCGGTCCCCGAGTCTCTTCCTGGGTTCATGATATATCCCCCAGATTCCGGTCCCCGAGTCTCCTCCTGGTTTCATGATATATCCCCCAGATTCCGGTCCCCGAGTCTCCTCCTGGGTTCATGATATATCCCCCAGATTCCGGTCCCCAAGTCTCCTCCTTGGTTCATGATATATCCCCCAGATTACGGTCCCCGAGTCTCCTCCCTGGGTTCATGATATATCCCCGAGATTCCGGTCCCCGAGTCTCCTCCTGGGTTCATGATATATCCCCCAGATTCCGGTCCCCAAATCTCCTCCTGACTCCTCCCACTATGTCCCCCAGATTCCGGTCCCCTAGTCTCCTCCTGGGTTCATGATATATCCCCCAGATTCCGGTCCCCGAGTCTCCTCCTGGGTTCATGATATATCCCCCAGATTCCGGTCCCCAAGTCTCCTCCTGGGTTCATGATATATCCCCCAGATTCCGGTCCCCCGAGTCTCTCTCCTGGGTTCATGATATATCCCCCAGATTCCGGTCCCCGAGTCTCCTCCTGGGTTCATGATATATCCCCCAGATTCCGGTCCCCAAGTCTCCTCCTGGGTTCATGATATATCCCCCAGATTCCGGTCCCCAAGTCTCTTTTTGGTTTCATGATATATCCCCAGATTACAGGTCCCCATTCTCCTCCTGGGTTCATGATATATCCCCCAGGTACTGGTCCCCATCCTCCTGACTCCTCCCACTATATACCCCCCAGGTACAGGTTCCCATCCTTGTTACTCCTCCTGCTATATCCCCCAGTACAGGTCCCCATCCTCCTGACTCCTCCCACTATATAAACCCCAGGTACAGGTTCCCATCCTCCTGACTCCTCCCACGATATCCCCCAGGTACAGGTCCCCATCCTCCTGACTCCTCCCACAATATCCCCCAGGTACAGTACAGGTTCCCATCCTCCTGACTCCTCCATGTGATATCCTCCAGGTACAGGTCCCCATCCTCCTGACTCCTCCCACTATACCCCCCAGGTACAGGTTCCCATCCTTGTTTTACTCCCCCTGCTATATCCCCCACGTACAGGTCCCCATCCTCCTGACTCCTCCCACTATAAACCCCAGGTACAGGTTCCCATCCTCCTGACTCCTCCCACGATATCCCCAGGTACAGGTTCCCATCCTCCTGACTCCTCCCACGATATCCCCCAGGTACAGGTCCCCATCCTCCTGACTCCTCCCACAATATCCCCCAGGTACAGGTTCCCCATCCTCCTGACTCCTCCCACGATATCCCCTAGGTACAGGTTCCCATCCTCCTGACTCCTCCCACGATATCCCCCAGGTACAGGTCCCCATCCTCCTGACTCCTCCCACAATATCCCCCAGGTACAGGTTCCTATCCTCCTGACTCCTCCCACGATATCCCCCAGGTACAGGTTCCCATCCCCCTGATATAGATCCCTGTCCCCCTGACCCCGCCCCCCTTTCCTGGTGTAGGTTGCCATGTTTCTGACTGTTTCTGGCACGTCCCTCAGGTGCAGGTTGCCAGTCTGCTGTTTGTGGACAATCCTGTGGGCACCGGATATAGCTACACGACAGATAGCGGAGCGTTTGCCAGGGACGTGGACATGGTCTCTAAAGACATGCTGGTTCTTCTCAAAGAATTCTTCCACTCAAAACCGGATTTCCAGGTGAGTGGTTGCAGCGGATGTAGGTAATAGGAAATGCCATGTTCCTGGCACTGGGGATAATTTGTTCCAGTTGCAGCACAACATGATACATTGTAACCCTATCTGTAGGGACACGCTGTGCACACTGAGAGACTCTTGTCTTGTACCGGATATCTTCTGGCTGCGAAGACTTGTGGCTCCACCATCAGGGCATGTGAGGGAAATGACTTACACAGCTACAGAGGGGACATGCAGATCCTGAGTGGCCCCCTGCGTGTAGGTGGGTCCTGAGTGGCCCCCCCATGTGTGGCCCTCTGGATGAAGGCGGGTCTCATCTGTATGACCTCCATCACACTGCACCAAAATTGTGCACTTGGGCTGTATTTCAGCCCCCTCTCCACCTTCACAGGCACAGTGGTGCTCTGAGCCAAGCACAGCACATTCAGCATGCCGCTCACTTTCATGGCTCCCCGTGGGAGGGTGCTGGGGGTGCGGCCCATACGGGTGTCTCCTATAATCTCCTTACACTGTGACACCTCTGTGTGATCCCTACGATTTGTCCCCACAGGCAATCCCCTTCTACATCTTCTCAGAGTCATACGGAGGCAAGATGGCGGCAGTGATCTCCCTGGCACTACACGAGGTAAGATCCCCGGCATAGTCCGGCTGGATGGACAGCGGGAATTTGCACAGTTCAAACCTTCAGCAGGGATTTTCATCGCTCACTTGGTGGGCGGCGTGTATGGGCATCGTCTAAAGGGCCACGCCCCATGTCTCAGATTTTAACTCCCGTTTGGTCACACTAGAAGGGGGGAAATGTTATCATGTCTCTGTCTTCATTATGGTTTCATCTAGAAGGGCTCACTTGGTGTCTCGGAGTCCCGTGTATGGTCATCGTCTAGAAGGGACCCCTCCTCTATCATGTCTCAGATATTGGAGTCCCGTGTATGGTCATCGTCTAGAAGGGACCCCTCCTCTATCATGTCTCAGATATTGGAGTCCTATCGTCTCAGATATGGTCATCGTCTAGAAGGGACCCCTCCTCTATCATGTCTCAGATATTGGAGTCCCGTGTATGGTCATCGTCTAGAAGGGACCCTCCTCTATCTCAGATATTGGTCTCAGATATTGGAGCTCTATCGTGTCCTCAGATATGGAGTCCCGGTCATCGTCTAGAAGGGACCCCTCCTCTATCATGTCTCAGATATTGGAGTCCCGTGTATGGTCATCGTCTAGAAGGGACCCCTCCTCTATCATGTCTCAGATATTCATCGTGTATGGTCATCGTCTAAGGGACCCCTCCTCTATCATGTCTCAGATATTGGAGTCCCGTGTATGGTCATCGTCTAGAAGGGACCCCTCCTCTATCATGTCTCAGATATTGGAGCCCCGTGTATGGTCATCGTCTAGAAGGGACCCCTCCTCTATCATGTCTCAGATATTGGAGTCCCGTGTATGGTCATCGTCTAGAAGGGACCCCTCCTCTATCATGTCTCAGATATTGGAGTCCCGTGTATGGTCATCGTCTAGAAGGGACCCCTCCTCTATCATGTCTCAGATATTGGAGTCCCCGTGTATGGTCATCGTCTAGAAGGGACCCCTCCTCTATCATGTCTCAGATATTGGAGCCCCGTGTATGGTCATCGTCTAGAAGGGACCCCTCCTCTATCATGTCTCAGATATTGGAGTCCCGTGTATGGTCATCGTCTAGAAGGGACCCCTCCTCTATCATGTCTCAGATATTGGAGTCCCCCGTGTATGGTCATCGTCTAGAAGGGACCCCTCCTCTATCATGTCTCAGATATTGGAGTCCCGTGTATGGTCATCGTCTAGAAGGGACCCCTCCTCTATCATGTCTCAGATATTGGAGCCCCGTGTATGGTCATCGTCTAGAAGGGACCCCTCCTCTATCATGTCTCAGATATTGGGAGTCCCGTGTATGGTCATCGTCTAGAAGGGACCCCTCCTCTATCATGTCTCAGATATTGGAGTCCCCGTGTATGGTCATCGTCTAGAAGGGACCCCTCCTCTATCATGTCTCAGATATTGGAGTCCCGTGTATGGTCATCGTCTAGAAGGGACCCCTCCTCTATCATGTCTCAGATATTGGAGTCCCGTGTATGGTCATCGTCTAGAAGGGACCCCTCCTCTATCATGTCTCAGATATTGGGAGTCCCGTGTTTTGGTCATCGTCTATCCCCGTCTATCAGATATTGGAGTCCCGTGTATGGTCATCGTCTAGAAGGGACCCCTCCTCTATCATGTCTCAGATATTGGGAGTCCCGTGTGTATGGTCATCGTCTAGAAGGGACCCTCCTCTATCATGTCTCAGATATTGGAGTCCCGTGTATGGTCATCGTCTAGAAGGGACCCCTCCTCTATCATGTCTCAGATATTGGAGTCCCGTGTATGGTCATCGTCTAGAAGGGACCCCTCCTCTATCATGTCTCAGATATTGGAGTCCCGTGTATGGTCATCGTCTAGAAGGGACCCCTCCTCTATCATGTCTCAGATATTGGAGTCCCGTGTGTGGTCATCGTCTAGAAGGGACCCCTCCTCTATCATGTCTCAGATATTGGAGTCCCGTGTATGGTCATCGTCTAGAAGGGACCCCTCCTCTATCATGTCTCAGATATTGGAGTCCCGTGTATGGTCATCGTCTAGAAGGGACCCCTCCTCTACAGTCTCAGATATTGGGGAGTCCCGTGATGGTCATCGTCTAGAAGGGACCCCTCCTCTATCATGTCTCAGATATTGGAGTCCCGTGTATGGTCATCGTCTAGAAGGGACCCCCCCTCTATCATGTCTCAGATATTGGAGTCCCGTGTATGGTCATCGTCTAGAGGGACCCCTCCTCTATCATGTCTCAGATATTGGAGTCCCGTGTATGGTCATCGTCTAGAAGGGACCCCTCCTCTATCATGTCTCAGATATTGGAGTCCCGTGTGTGGTCATCGTCTAGAAGGGACCCCTCCTCTATCATGTCTCAGATATTGGAGTCCCGTGTATGGTCATCGTCTAGAAGGGACCCCTCCTCTATCATGTCTCAGATATTGGAGTCCCGTGTATGGTCATCGTCTAGAAGGGACCCCTCCTCTATCATGTCTCAGATATTTGGAGTCCCGTGTATGGTCATCGTCTAGAAGGGACCCCTCCTCTATCATGTCTCAGATATTGGAGTCCCGTGTATGGTCATCGTCTAGAAGGGACCCCTCCTCTATCATGTCTCAGATATTGGAGTCCCATGTATGGTCATCGTCTAGAGGGGACCCCTCCTCTATCATCATGTCTCAGATATTGGAGTCCCGTGTATGGTCATCGTCTAGAAGGGACCCCTCCTCTATCACGTCTCAGATATTGGAGTCCCGTGTATGGTCATCGTCTAGAAGGGACCCCTCCTCTATCATGTCTCAGATATTGGAGTCCCGTGTATGGTCGTATGGTCATCGTCTAGAAGGGACCCCTCCTCTATCATGTCTCAGATATTGGAGTCCCCGTGTATGGTCATCGTCTAGAAGGGACCCCTCCTCTATCATGTCTCAGATATTGGAGTCCCGTGTATGGTCATCGTCTAGAAGGGACCCCTCCTCTATCATGTCTCAGATATTGGAGTCCCGTGTATGGTCATCGTCTAGAAGGGACCCCTCCTCTATCATGTCTCAGATATTTGAGTCCCGTGTTATGGTCATCGTCTAGAAGGGACCCCCCTCCTCTATCATGGTCTCAGATATTGGAGTCCCGTGTATGGTCATCGTCTAGAAGGGACCCCTCCTCTATCATGTCTCAGATATTGGAGTCCCGTGTATGGTCATCGTCTAGAAGGGACCCCTCCTCTATCATGTCTCAGATATTGGAGTCCCGTGTATGGTCATCGTCTAGAAGGGACCCCTCCTCTATCATGTCTCAGATATTGGAGTCCCGTGTATGGTCATCGTCTAGAAGGGACCCCTCCTCTATCATGTCTCAGATATTGGAGTCCCGTGTATATGGTCATCGTCTCTAGAAGGGACCCCTCCTCTATCATGTCTTAGATATTGGAGTCCCGTTATCTATGGTCATCGTCTAGAAGGACCCCTCCTCTATCATGTCTCAGATATTGGAGTCCCGTGTATGGTCATCGTCTAGAAGGGACCCCTCCTCTATCATGTCTCAGATATTGGAGTCCCGTGTGTGGTCATCGTCTAGAAGGGACCCCTCCTCTATCATGTCTCAGATATTGGAGTCCCGTGTATGTGGTCATCGTCTAGAAGGGACCCCTCCTCTATCATGTCTCAGATATTGGAGTCCCGTGTATGGTCATCGTCTAGAAGGGACCCCTCCTCTATCATGTCTCAGATATTGGAGTCCCGTGTATGGTCATCGTCTAGAAGGGACCCCTCCTCTATCATGTCTCAGATATTGGAGTCCCGTGTATGGTCATCGTCTAGAAGGGACCCCTCCTCTATCATGTCTCAGATATTGGAGTCCCGTGTATGGTCATCGTCTACAAGTGACCCCTCCTCTATCATGTCTCAGATATTGGAGTCCCGTTATGGTCATCGTCTAGAAGGGACCCCTCCTCTATCATGTCTCAGATATTGGAGTCCCGTGTATGGTCATCGTCTAGAAGGGACCCCTCCTCTATCATGTCTCAGATATTGGAGTCCCGTGTATGGTCATCGTCTAGAAGGGACCCCTCCTCTATCATGTCTCAGATATTGGAGTCCCCGTGTATGGTCATCGTCTAGAAGGGACCCTCCTCTATCATGTCTCAGATATTGGAGTCCCGTGTATGGTCATCGTCTAGAAGGGACCCCTCCTCTATCATGTCTCAGATATTGGAGTCCCGTGTATGGTCATCGTCTAGAAGGGACCCCTCCTCTATCATGTCTCAGATATTGGAGTCACCCGTGTATGGTCATCGTCTAGAAGGGACCCCTCCTCTATCATGTCTCAGATATTGGAGTCCCGTGTATGGTCATCATCGTCTAGAAGTGACCCCTCCTCTATCATGTCTCAGATATTGGGAGTCCCCGTGTATGGTCATCGTCTAGAAGGGACCCCTCCTCTATCTACATGTCTCAGATATTGGAGTCCCGTGTATGGTCATCGTCTAGAAGGGACCCCTCCTCTATCATGTCTCAGATATTGGAGTCCCGTGTATGGTCATCGTCTAGAAGGGACCCCTCCTCTCAAGTCTCAGATCATGTCATCAGTCTAGAAGGGAGTCCCGTCAGTATTGGGAGTCCCGTGTATGGTCATAGTCTAGAAGGGACCCCTCCTCTATCATGTCTCAGATATTGGAGTCCCGTGTATGGTCATCATGTCTAGAAGGGACCCCTCCTCTATCATGTCTCAGATATTGGAGTCCCGTGTATGGTCATCGTCTAGAAGGGACCCCTCCTCTATCATGTCTCAGATATTGGAGTCCCGTGTATGGTCATCTCTAGAAGGGACCCTCCTCTATCATGTCTCAGATATTGGAGTCCCGTGTATGGTCATCGTCTAGAAGGGACCCCCCTCCTCTATCATGTCTCAGATATTGGAGTCCCGTGTATGGTCATCGTCTCTAGAAGGGACCCCTCCTCTATCATGTCTCAGATATTGGAGTCCCGTGTATGGTCATCGTCTAGAAGGGACCCCTCCTCTATCATGTCTCAGATATTGGAGTCCCGTGTATGGTCATCATGTCTAGAAGTGGTCACCCCCCTCCTCTATCATGTCTTCAGATATTGGAGTCCCGTGTATGGTCATCGTCTAGAAGGGACCCCTCCTCTATCATGTCTCAGATATTGGGAGTCCCGTGTATGGTCATCGTCTAGAAGTGACCCCTCCTCTATCATGTCTCAGATATTGGAGTCCCGTGTATGGTCATCGTCTAGAAGGACCCTCTCCTCTATCATGTCTCAGATATTGGAGTCCCCGTGTAATGGTCATCGTCTAGAAGGGACCCCTCCTCTATCATGTCTCAGATATTGGAGTCCCGTGTATGGTCATCGTCTAGAAGTGACCCCTCCTCTATCATGTCTCAGATATTGGAGTCCCGTGTATGGTCATCGTCTAGAAGGGACCCCTCCTCTATCATGTCTCAGATATTGGAGTCCCGTGTATAGTCATCGTCTAGAAGGGACCCCTCCTCTATCATGTCTCAGATATTGGAGTCCCGTGTATGGTCATCGTCTAGAAGGGACCCCTCCTCTATCATGTCTCAGATATTGGAGTCCCGTGTATGGTCATCGTCTAGAAGTGACCCCTCCTCTATCATGTCTCAGATATGGAGTCCCGTGTGCAGGTCATCGTCTAGAAGTGACCCCTCCTCTATCATGTCTCAGATATCGGAGTCCCGTGTGCAGTCGTCATCTAGAAGTGACCCCCTCCTCTATCATGTCTCAGATATCGGAGTCCCGTGTGCAGTTGTCATCTAGAAGTGACCCCTCCTCTATCATGTCTCAGATATTGGAGTCCCGTGTGCAGTTGTCATCTAGAAGGGACCCCTCCTCTATCATGTCTCAGATATCGGAGTCCCGTGTGCATTGTCATCTAGAAGTGACCCCTCCTCTATCATGTCTCAGATATTCGGAGTCCCGTGTATGGCAGTCGTCATCTAGAAGTGACCCCTCCTCTATCATGTCTCAGATATCGGAGTCCCGTGTGCAGTTGTCATCTAGAAGTGACCCCTCCTCTATCATGTCTCAGATATCGGAGTCCCGTGTGCAGTTGTCATCTAGAAGTGACCCCTCCTCTATCATGTCTCAGATATCGGAGTCCCGTGTGCAGTTGTCATCTAGAAGTGACCCCTCCTCTATCATGTCTCAGATATCGGAGTCCCGTGTGCAGTTGTCATCTAGAAGTGACCCCTCCTCTATCATGTCTCAGATATCGGAGTCCCGTGTGCAGTTGTCATCTAGAAGTGACCCCTCCTCTATCATGTCTCAGATATCGGAGTCCCGTGTGCAGTTGTCATCTAGAAGTGACCCCTCCTCTATCATGTCTCAGATATCGGAGTCCCGTGTGCAGTTGTCATCTAGAAGTGACCCCTCCTCTATCATGTCTCAGATATCGGAGTCCCGTGTGCAGTTGTCATCTAGAAGTGACCCCTCCTCTATCATGTCTCAGATATCGGAGTCCCGTGTGCAGTTGTCATCTAGAAGTGACCCCTCCTCTATCATGTCTCAGATATCGGAGTCCCGTGTGCAGTTGTCATCTAGAAGTGACCCCTCCTCTATCATGTCTCAGATATCGGAGTCCCGTGTGCAGTTGTCATCTAGAAGTGACCCCTCCTCTATCATGTCTCAGATATCGGAGTCCCGTGTGCAGTTGTCATCTAGAAGTGACCCCTCCTCTATCATGTCTCAGATATCGGAGTCCCGTGTGCAGTTGTCATCTAGAAGTGACCCCTCCTCTATCATGTCTCAGATATCGGAGTCCCGTGTGCAGTTGTCATCTAGAAGTGACCCCTCCTCTATCATGTCTCAGATATCGGAGTCCCGTGTGCAGTTGTCATCTAGAAGTGACCCCTCCTCTATCATGTCTCAGATATCGGAGTCCCGTGTGCAGTTGTCATCTAGAAGTGACCCCTCCTCTATCATGTCTCAGATATCGGAGTCCCGTGTGCAGTTGTCATCTAGAAGTGACCCCTCCTCTATCATGTCTCAGATATCGGAGTCCCCGTGTGCAGTTGTCATCTAGAAGTGACCCCTCCTCTATCATGTCTCAGATATCGGAGTCCCGTGTGCAGTTGTCATCTAGAAGTGACCCCTCCTCTATCATGTCTCAGATATCGGAGTCCCGTGTGCAGTTGTCATCTAGAAGTGACCCCTCCTCTATCATGTCTCAGATATCGGAGTCCCGTGTGCAGTTGTCATCTAGAAGTGACCCCTCCTCTATCATGTCTCAGATATCGGAGTCCCGTGTGCAGTTGTCATCTAGAAGTGACCCCTCCTCTATCATGTCTCAGATATCGGAGTCCCGTGTGCAGTTGTCATCTAGAAGTGACCCCTCCTCTATCATGTCTCAGATATCGGAGTCCCGTGTGCAGTTGTCATCTAGAAGTGACCCCTCCTCTATCATGTCTCAGATATCGGAGTCCCGTGTGCAGTTGTCATCTAGAAGTGACCCCTCCTCTATCATGTCTCAGATATCGGAGTCCCGTGTGCAGTTGTCATCTAGAAGTGACCCCTCCTCTATCATGTCTCAGATATCGGAGTCCCGTGTGCAGTTGTCATCTAGAAGTGACCCCTCCTCTATCATGTCTCAGATATCGGAGTCCCGTGTGCAGTTGTCATCTAGAAGTGACCCCTCCTCTATCATGTCTCAGATATCGGAGTCCCGTGTGCAGTTGTCATCTAGAAGTGACCCCTCCTCAATCATGTCTCAGATATCGGAGTCCCGTGTGCAGTTGTCATCTAGAAGTGACCCCTCCTCTATCATGTCTCAGATATCGGAGTCCCGTGTGCAGTTGTCATCTAGAAGTGACCCCTCCTCTATCATGTCTCAGATATCGGAGTCCCGTGTGCAGTTGTCATCTAGAAGTGACCCCTCCTCTATCATGTCTCAGATATCGGAGTCCCGTGTGCAGTTGTCATCTAGAAGTGACCCCTCCTCAATCATGTCTCAGATATCGGAGTCCCGTGTGCAGTTGTCATCTAGAAGTGACCCCTCCTCTATCATGTCTCAGATATTGGAGCCCCGTGTATGGTCATCGTCTAGAAGGGACCCCTCCTCTATCATGTCTCAGATATCGGAGTCCCGTGTATGGTCATCGTCTAGAAGGGACCCCTCCTCTATCATGTCTCAGATATCGGAGTCCCGTGTGCAGTTGTCATCTAGAAGTGACCCCTCCTCAATCATGTCTCAGATATCGGAGTCCCGTGTGCAGTTGTCATCTAGAAGTGACCCCTCCTCTATCATGTCTCAGATATCGGAGTCCCGTGTGCAGTTGTCATCTAGAAGTGACCCCTCCTCAATCATGTCTCAGATATCGGAGTCCCGTGTGCAGTTGTCATCTAGAAGTGACCCCTCCTCTATCATGTCTCAGATATCGGAGTCCCCGTGTGCAGTTGTCATCTAGAAGTGACCCTCCTCTATCATGTCTCAGATATCGGAGTCCCGTGTGCAGTTTGTCATCTAGAAGTGACCCCTCCTCTATCATGTCTCAGATATCGGAGTCCCGTGTGCAGTTGTCATCTAGAAGTGACCCCTCCTCAATCATGTCTCAGATATCGGAGTCCCGTGTGCAGTTGTCATCTAGAAGTGACCCCTCCTCTATCATGTCTCAGATATTGGAGCCCCGTGTATGGTCATCGTCTAGAAGGGACCCCTCCTCTATCATGTCTCAGATATCGGAGTCCCGTGTATGGTCATCGTCTAGAAGGGACCCCCCTCCTCTATCATGTCTCAGATATCGGAGTCCCGTGTGCAGTTGTCATCTAGAAGTGACCCTTCCTCTCACTGTCTTTCTCGTAGGCTGCCCAGGCGGGTGACATTAAGTGTAATTTCAGAGGAGTGGCTCTTGGAGACTCCTGGATCTCCCCCATTGGTGAGTAGAGGTCACACCACCAGATTTCGGTCAGACTATACAATACACGCGGTACGTGTCACATTCTGGCCCCTCACGTCATACTGCAGAGTTGGTAGTAAAGCTGAAGGAGATTGTACAAGCAGATTGGAAGATATCACACACACACAGGTACAAGCAGATTGGAAGATATCACACACACAGGTACCAGCAGATTGGAAGATATCACACACACAGGTACCAGCAGATTGGAAGATATCACACACACACACAGATTGGAAGATATCACACACCAGTACCATTAGCAGATTGGAAGATATCACACACACAGGTACCAGCAGATTGGAAGATATCACACACACAGGTACCAGCAGATTGGAAGATATCACACACACAGGTACAAGCAGATTGGAAGATATCAGACACACAGGTACCAGCAGATTGGAAGATATCACACACAGGTACAAGCAGATTGGAAGATATCACACACACCGGTACAAGCAGATTGGAAGATATCACACACACAGGTACAAGCAGATTGGAAGATATCACACACACAGGTACCAGCAGATTGGAAGATATCACACACACAGGTACCAGCAGATTGGAAGATATCAGACACACAGGTACCAGCAGATTGGAAGATATCACACACACACAGGTACAAGCAGATTGGAAGATATCACACACACAGGTACCAGCAGATTGGAAGATATCACACACACAGGTACCAGCAGATTGGAAGATATCAGACACACAGGTACCAGCAGATTGGAAGATATCACACACACAGGTACCAGCAGATTGGAAGATATCACACACACAGGTACCAGCAGATTGGAAGATATCACACACACAGGTACAAGCAGATTGGAAGATATCACACACAGGTACAAGCAGATTGGAAGATATCACACACACCGGTACAAGCAGATTGGAAGATATCACACACACAGGTACAAGCAGATTGGAAGATATCACACACACAGGCAGATTTCTGTAGAGGGATGGTGGGGACAAGTGCTGACATGATTGGATGGGGGGTGTCCAGCAGAATACATTGGGTGTGCACAGGCTGTTCTGGGCTCCATTGCTGTAGGCGGTGCAGCCAATTAGAACAGTCAGAATTTGGGTGGATTTAATGTTCTGATTAGTAGAGCCGATGCAGGTGTCATAACCAGAGCAGTGGATTCTCCCACCTGGTCCGTGATGGAGGGGTGTAGACTGTGCTGACTGTGGGGGGGGTCATACTAACTGGTCACATGTTTTTCTGTGTTGGCAGACTCGGTGGTCAGCTGGGGGTCGTATCTCTACAGCATTGTAAGTACAGCCGGGGGTGTCCATGGTGTGCGTCATGTGATCTCTCTTCTTGGATTGTCCCCTTTGGATTCACAGAGGTCCCGTGTTTTGGGAGGTCCTGTCCCTGCCTTGACTGTATAGTCACCTCCTGAGCTGGCAGGGTGGGCTGTGTCTGGGCCATGTACGGAACCTTTCAGTACACAGCCTCTTATCCCCCTCAAGTATCGGCAGCTCACATACACATGGCCAAGAAGACGGTGGGGGGGGGGGGGGGTGCTTGGAATCTGTGGGGGAAGAGATAGATCTGGTGATCTGCTTATGTAACCGTTAAAGTGGCTGTAAACCCTCACATATCCCCAGGTGATACACAGAGATGAGACATGTCCTATGGCATAAGTTGTACCTGTTTATCTGTAGTATTCTCTTCTCTACAGCCATTCAAAGTGCTGAATTTATAAAGTTTGTCTGAGAGTTCAGAAAACGAGGTGGAGAGCTGAATTTACACTCTGCAAAGTTCAATGAGGAGAGCTCTGAGGTCCCTCCCCTGTCACCATTTTTCTCAGGAAAACTTGTCTGAAGTGACCTATGCTGACAGCAGAAGAAAGAGGCAGCAGACAGAAATGACACTCAGTGCTCTGGACTCGTACACACTGTAGAGGGATGTGCTTTGTTCATATTTCATGGCTGAGCTTTACAACCACGCAGGGGCGGACTGACTATTTGGAAACTCGGGCACGGCCCGAGGGCCCAGGGTCAGTAGGGGGCCCCATGAGATGCCCCTGGTACCTTTTTCATAGGCTTTTTTGAGTTGGGCAAGGACACAGGGGCCCCATGATCCCCTATTGCCCGGGGCCCCATGAGTTGTTCAGTCCGCCCCTGCAACCAGGTTAAGCCTCTTGTCAGGTTCAGTGTTGTAGTCTTTGCATTACTATAGAGCACCATGGTATGTGATGGCGATATATGCGTAGTTCCAAGGTGGGTAATATCTGTGCTGTGTTGTGCCGCAGTCTCTGCTGGATGACAACGGTCTGGTGGCAGTTCAGAAAGCAGCCGACTCCGTCCAGGATGCCATCAACAAAGGACAGTATGAACAGGCCACACAACTCTGGTCCTTGACAGAAGATGTCATAGAAGAGGTGAGCATTGGCTGCTGTCCACCTGGGGGGCACCCCCACATTCTGACTACACTGTATATACCAGTCCACCTGGGGGGCACCCCCACATTCTGACTACACTGTATATACCAGTCCACCTGGGGGGCACCCCCACATTCTGACTACACTGTATATACCAGTCCACCAGGGGGGCACCCCCACATTCTGACTACACTGTATATACCAGTCCACCAGGGGGGCACCCCCACATTCTGACTACACTGTATATACCAGTCCACCTGGGGGCACCCCGACATTCTGACTACACTGTATATACTAGTCCACCTGGGGGGCACCCCCACATTCTGACTACACTGTATATACCAGTCCACCTGGGGGGCACCCCACATTCTGAATACACTGTATATACCAGTCCACCTGGGGGGCACCCCGACATTCTGACTACACTGTATACACCAGTCCACCTGGGGGGCACCCCACATTCTGAATACACTGTATATACCAGTCCACCTGGGGGGCACCCCCACATTCTGACTACACTGTATATACAAGTCCACCTGGGGGGCACCCCCACATTCTGACTACACTGTATATACCAGTCCACCAGGGGGGCACCCCGACATTCTGACTACACTGTATATACCAGTCCACCTGGGGGGCACCCCCACATTCTGAATACACTGTATATACCAGTCCACCTGGGGGGCACCCCCACATTCTGACTACACTGTATATACCAGTCCACCAGGGGGGCACCCCCACATTCTGACTACACTGTATATACCAGTCCACCTGGGGGGCACCCCGACATTCTGACTACACTGTATATACCAGTCCACCAGGGGGGGCACCCCGACATTCTGACTACACTGTATATATACCCAGTCCACCAGGGGGGCACCCCGACATTCTGACTACACTGTATATACCAGTCCACCTGGGGGCACCCCCACATTCTGACTACACTGTATATACCAGTCCACCTGGGGGGCACCCCCACATTCTGACTACACTGTATATACCAGTCCACCCTGGGGGGCACCCCCACATTCTGACTACACTGTATATACCAGTCCACCTGGGGGGCACCCCGACATTCTGACTACACTGTATATACCAGTCCACCTGGGGGGCACCCCACATTCTGACTACACTGTATATACCAGTCCACCTGGGGGGCACCCCACATTCTGAATACACTGTATATACCAGTCCACCTGGGGGGCACCCCCTGACACTTCGCGTATTCTGACTACACTGTATACACCAGTCCACCTGGGGGGCACCCCGACATTCTCTGAATACACTGTATATACCAGTCCACCTGGGGGGCACCCCCACATTCTGACTACACTGTATATACCAAGTCCACCTGGGGGGCACCCCCACATTCTGACTACACTGTATATACCAGTCCACCAGGGGGGCACCCCGACATTCTGAATACACTGTATATACCAGTCCACCTGGGGGGCACCCCCACATTCTGAATACACTGTATATACCAGTCCACCTGGGGGGCACCCCCACATTCTGACTACACTGTATATACCAGTCCACCTGGGGGGCACCCCCACATTCTGACTACACTGTATATACCAGTCCACCTGGGGGGCACCCCGACATTCTGACTACACTGTATATACCAGTCCACCTGGGGGGCACCCCGACATTCTGACTACACACTGTATATACCAGTCCACCTGGGGGGCACCCCGACATTCTGACTACACTGTATATACCAGTCCACCTGGGGGGCACCCCCACATTCTGACTACACTGTATATAGCAGTCCACCTGGGGGCACCCCCACATTCTGACTACACTGTATATATACAGTCAGTCCCACCTGGGGGGCACCCCGACATTCTGACTACACTGTATATACCAGTCCACCAGGGGGGCACCCCGACATTCTGACTACACTGTATATACCAGTCCACCTGGGGGCACCCCGACATTCTGACTACACTGTATATACCAGTCCACCTGGGGGCACCCCGACATTCTGACTACACTGTATATACCAGTCCACTGGGGGGCACCCCGACATTCTGACTACACTGTATATACCAGTCCACCTGGGGGGGCACCCCGACATTCTGAACTACACTGTATATACCAGTCCACCAGGGGGGCACCCCGACATTCTGAATACACTGTATATACCAGTCCACCTGGGGGGGCACCCCGACATTCTGAATACACTGTATATACCAGTCCACCTGGGGGGCACCCCGACATTCTGACTACACTGTATATACCAGTCCACCTGGGGGGCACCCCGACATTCTGACTACACTGTATATACCAGTCCACCTGGGGGGCCCCCCACATTCTGAATACACTGTATATACCAGTCCACCTGGGGGGCACCCCCACATTCTGACTACACTGTATATACAGTCCACCTGGGGGCACCCCCACATTCTGAATACACTGTATATACCAGTCCACCTGGGGGGCACCCCGACATTCTGACTACACTGTATATACCAGTCCACCTGGGGGGCACCCCCACATTCTGACTACACTGTATATACCAGTCCACCTGGGGGGCACCCCCACATTCTGACTACACTGTATATACCAGTCCACCTGGGGGCACCCCGACATTCTGACTACACTGTATATACCAGTCCACCTGGGGGGGCACCCCGACATTCTGACTACACTGTATATACCAGTCCACCTGGGGGGCACCCCGACATTCTGACTACACTGTATATACCAGTCCACCTGGGGGGCACCCCGACATTCTGACTACACTGTATATACCAGTCCACCTGGGGGGCACCCCCACATTCTGACTACACTGTATATACCAGTCCACCTGGGGGGCACCCCGACATTCTTACACTGATATACACTGTATATACCAGTCCACCTGGGGGGCACCCCCACATTCTGACTACACTGTATATACCAGTCCACCTGGGGGGCACCCCGACATTCTGACTACACTGTATATACCAGTCCACCTGGGGGGCACACCCGACATTCTGAATACACTGTATAATACCAGTCCACCTGGGGGGCACCCCGACATTCTGAATACACTGTATATACCAGTCCACCTGGGGGGCACCCCGACATTCTGACTACACTGTATATACCAGTCCACCTGGGGCACCCCGACATTCTGACTACACTGTATATACCAGTCCACCTGGGGGCACCCCACATTCTGACTACACTGTATATACCAGTCCACCTGGGGGGCACCCCGACATTCTGACTACACTGTATATACCAGTCCACCTGGGGGGCACCCCGACATTCTGAATACACTGTATATACCAGTCCACCTGGGGGCACCCCCACATTCTGAATACACTGTATATACCAGTCCACCTGGGGGGCACCCCGACATTCTGACTACACTGTATATACCAGTCCACCTGGGGGGCACCCCGACATTCTGACTACACTGTATATACCAGTCCACCTGGGGGGCACCCCACATTCTGAATACACTGTATATACCAGTCCACCTGGGGGGCACCCCCACATTCTGAATACACTGTATATACCAGTCCACCTGGGGGGCAACCCCCGACATTCTGAATACACTGTATATACCAGTCCACCTGGGGGGCACCCCGACATTCTGACTACACTGTATATACCAGTCCACCTGGGGGGCACCCCGACATTCTGACTACACTGTATATACCAGTCCACCTGGGGGGCACCCCTACATTCTGACTACACTGTATATACCAGTCCACCTGGGGGGCACCCCGACATTCTGAATACACTGTATATACCAGTCCACCTGGGGGGCACCCCGACATTCTGACTACACTGTATATACCAGTCCACCTGGGGGGCACACCCCACATTCTGAATACACTGTATATACCAGTCCACCTGGGGGGCACCCCCTACATTCTGACTACACTGTATATACCAGTCCACCTGGGGGGCACCCCACATTCTGACTACACTGTATATACCAGTCCACCTGGGGGGCACCCCCACATTCTGACTACACTGTATATACCAGTCCACCTGGGGGGCACCCCCACATTCTGACTACACTGTATATACCAGTCCACCTGGGGGGCACCCCGACATTCTGAATACACTGTATATACCAGTCCACCTGGGGGGCACCCCCACATTCTGACTACACTGTATATACCAGTCCACCTGGGGGCACCCCGACATTGTCATTCTGGGCGTCTTGTTCAGGTAATCTGCATATCAGTAGCTCGCGGGGTCAGACAGAAGTGTCAGGTGACATCTTCCCAATCATTCAGCCAATAGTAAGAGCAGAAATGGTTTGGTGGTGCTCAGTCTCGCTATGATTGTATTTGCAGAATACGGATGGAGTGAACTTCTACAACATTCTGACCAAAGATTCTCTGATGTCAGGAAGTGGTGGGAAGAACTCTCCAAAGTTCAGAAACGTGGCTCTCGGTGAGTACATCTTGGAGTCTCCCAGCATCCCTCACTGCCGGAGCTCATCACTTCACCTATTCATCCTCCTCCTCCTCCTACAGGAAGCCTTTACTGGCGCCATGTACTGCCTCTGCAGGCTGATGATCTGTCAGAGTTGATGAATGGACCAATCAGAGCCAAGCTGAAGATCATTCCAGATTCTGTCACATGGGGAGGTGAGATGCCTGGCTGGGGGCACTGCAGCAGTTGTCTGACTCCACACATATCCTGATGTTCTCTCTGTCCTCCAGGCCAGGCAGCAGAGGTCTTCTCAAACATGGCCGGAGACTTTATGAAGCCGGTGGTGAGTGTTGTGGACGACCTCCTGTGTGCGGGGATAAACGTCACCGTGTACAATGGGCAGCTGGACCTCATCGTGGACACTGTTGGTAAGCAGGACGGGAAGTCACGGCTCACTCTTTCAGAGGTCCTTCCACCCAAACATGACATTTCACGGCTCAGGTGTTGTTTTAGGTGGTTCTGTCAGCAGTGATCAGTTACTGTTCCCTCTCCTCTCTTCCAGGTCAGGAGGGATGGGTCAAGCAGCTGAAGTGGAAGAAGCTGGACCAGTTCAAGAGCCTGCGCTGGAAGCCACTGCACCTGCAGTCCAGAGAAACGGCTGCTTTCTACAAATCCTGGGAGAACTTCAGCTTCTACTGGATTTTAAGAGCGGGGCACATGGTAAGAGGACCTGTATACCAACACACACTCCTCTGTATTCACCTTCACAGGTTGCACCCCTATGATAGGTCGGCACGTTTCCTGGTTTGCTTTGTACGCATTGCAGGCGTCCACTCCGGGATTGACATGTGCTGGGGTGGGGTATGTACATAGGTTCTGTACGGCATGTACTGTGGTTATCATTGGGGCCGGGCGCTGCTGAAACACATTCGCTGCATTGTAAGTTCCGTGACCTCAATAGTAAGTGGTGGACTTTGGATGGTAGATCTACACTGGGAGGTGTTCCCGAGCACCGCACTACATAATGGTCGCAGCTCAGCTCTTGTTTTGGACAACATTGATAAGTGCTGGAGTTTTGCATTCTTCATAGTGGAACTACACGGCATCTGAGGACCTCAAACCAAAAGCACAATTTAACCTATTGTTAATATTCAAAGCAAACTCCCCCATCCATCCATCCATGCTTTAGTTTGCTGAGAAATACCCTTTGAACCCCCCCCCCAGCATTTCTAGCTACAGCCATCTTGAGTAAGCACATAGGATTCATGTAGCATTTACTTCCTGGAATCCACCTGCCCTTAGCTCAGGCATGCAGATGGGAGGACGTACGTAGCTGAGAAAGCCCCTCCCCTCCTCCTGAAGACTCCTGGGATGTATGACCTCATTTTGCCCTAGGCCAGATACCAGGAATGTAAAGGAAAAGTTTCCAAGACAGTAAATCTGATCTCCTCTCCTGTCTGTTTACTACCAATAGCAGCATAAGGATTACAGATCGTCCACAATGACTGGGAGAGGGACGTTCGCCTTTCAGATAAACCATTCCTTTCCTATAGGAAGAAAGGAAAGCTCTCTAGGATTGCTCCAGTCCCTAAAGTGGTCCTGTACATTTTTAAGTCCAACCAGGACTCTGGGGACAGTAATGGTCCTTCATTAAAGCAAGGCTGTGATCTGCTGATAACTGGTCATGTGATCCTGTCATCCCATTGGGCTCTACTGTAAGACAGCCAATCAGCAGCTGTGATCCAATGGTACAGAGCTATGAGCAGCATTCCAGGCTCCTCCCCCGCCATGGTAAGGGATGAGTTTTTCGCCATGGTCAGAGAGGTCATCTTCTCTACAATGCAGACTGGACATGTGAGATTCTTGTATTTTATAGAATTACTATCAGTGAAGTTGGATTTCTGTCCTGAACAGGGACCTGCTGCTTGGCCAAAGACACAGAATGATAGTATTTTCTGCATCCTGATGTCTGCCTCTTGTCTCCTTGTGGTAGGTGCCATCCGACCAGCCAGAAACATCCCTGAAAATGCTGCGAATGGTCACCAACCAGGACAAGTAACTCCAAGAGGAGCCAGCGGGATCCTGGCTACAAAGAACAAAATGGCTGCACTGCTGCCTTCATACGGGTTCCAGAATGCTTTGCTGTGGATCGGCACCAAACCTGTGATTTCTCTCTCCACTATGGCACTTACACTCACCGGCCACTTCATTAGGTTCACCTGTTCAATGGCTCGGTAACACAAATTGCTAACCAGCCAATCACATGGCAGCAACTCAATGCATTTAGGCATCTAGACATGGTGAAGATGACTTGCTGAAGTTCAAACCAAAGAAGAAAGGGGATTTAAGTGACTTTGAACCTGGCATGGTTGTTGGTGCCAGACAGGATGGTCTGAGTATTTCAAAAACTGCTGATCTCCTGGGATTTTCCCTCACAACCATCTCTGGGGTTTACAGAGAATGGTCCGAAAAACAGAAAATATCCAGTGAGTGGCAGTTGTGTGGAGGAAAATGCCTTGTTGAGGTCAGAGGAGAATGGGCAGACCAGTTGGAGATGATAGGCAACAGTAACTCCAATAACCCCTCGTTACACCTAAGGTATGCAGAATACCATCTATGAACACACAACACGTCCAACCTTGAAGCAGATGGGCTACAGCAGCAGAAGACCACACCAGGGCCACCAATTCACACAGGGTCACCAATATTGGACACTAGAAGATTGGGGATACGTTGCCTGGTCTGATGAGTGTCGATTTCCCTAGAGATGGTTGTGCATGAAAATCCCAGGAGATCAGCAGTTTTTTAAATACTCAGATCAGCCCATCTGGCACCAACAACCACGCCACGTTCAAAGTCACTTAAATCCCCTTTCTTCCCCATTCTGATAAAGTGGCCAGTGAGTGTATATCACCCTCCCCGCTTACTACTAGGATCGAACAAATGGAAATCTGATTCTGTGTGCATGTTTTTATAATAAATTGGTCATTAAAAAAGTGTGTGCTTCCTCAATGTTACACATTATTCATGACACCAAAGGATACAACTTCATATCACTTATCTGTGTGTCTGGAGGACTCTAACTCTGCTCTCCTGAAAAACTCTGCACTGCTGGAGGACTCCGCCCCTTCCTCTATAACTCTCCTCTCCTGGAGGACTCTCCGCTCCTTCCTCTATAACTCTCCTCTCCTGGAGGACTCCGACTCCGCTCCTTCCTCTATAGCTCTCCTCTCCTGGAGGACTCCGCTCCTTCCTCTATAACTCTCCTCTCCTGGAGGACTCCGCTCTATAACTTCCCTCTAGGAGCTTCTTCCTCTATAACTCTCCTCTCCTGGAGGACTCCGCTTCTTCCTCCTTCCTCTATAGCTCTCCTCTCCTGGAGGACTCCGCTCCTTCCTCTATAACTCTCCTCTCCTGGAGGGACTCCTTCCTCTATATAACTCCTCTCCTCTCTATAGGACTCCGCTCCTTCCTCTATAGGAGGACTCCGCTCCTTCCTCTATAGCTCTCCTCTCCTGGAGGACTCCGCTCCTTCCTCTATAGCTCTCCTCTCCTGGAGGACTCCGCTCCTTCCTCTATAGCTCCTCTAAAAACTCTCCTGGAGGACTCCGCTCCTTCCTCTATAGCTCTCCTCTCCTGGAGGACTCCGCTTCTTCCTCTATAGCTCTCCTCTCCTGGAGGACTCCGCTCCTTCCTCTATAGCTCTCCTCTCCTGGAGGACTCCGCTCCGCTCTTCCTCTATAACTCTCTCCTCTCCTGGAGGACTCCGCTCCTTCCTCTATAACTCTCTCTCCTGGAGGACTCCACTCCTTCCTCTATAACTCCTCTCCTGAAATACTCTGCACTGCCGGAGGACTCCGCTCCTTCCTCTATAACTCCTCTCCTGGAGGACTCCGCTCCTTCCTCTATAGCTCTCCTCTCCTGGAGGACTCCGCTCCTTCCTCTATAACTCTCCTCTCCTAGAGGACTCCGCTCCTTCCTCTATAGCTCTCCTCTCCTGCTGGAGGACTCCGCTCCTTCCTCTATAACTCTCCTCTCCCCGGAGGACTCCGCTTCTTCCTCTATAACTCCTCTCCTGAAAATGGAGGACTCTCCGCTCCTTCCTCATAACTCTCCTCTGAAGGACTCCGCTCCCTTCCTCTATAACTCTCCTCTCCTGACCCCCTCCTTCCTCTATAACTCTCCTCTCTGGAGGACTGCTTCCTCTGCTGGAGGACTCTGCCGCTCCTTCCTTCTATATAGCTAGGTCCATATATATTTGGACACAGGCACAATTTTCATTCTTTTGGCTCTGTATGCCTCCAGAATAAATTAAAACAAAACAATCCAAATGAATGTGAAGTGCAGACTTTCAGCTTTAATTCAAGGGGTTGAACATAAATATATCAAGTACAAATTTTAGGAACTGCAACCATTTTTATACAAAGTTCCTCCAATTTCAGGGGCTCAAATGTAATTGGACAAATGAATATAATCAGAAATAAAATGCTCATTTATAATATTTTGTTGAGAATCCTTTACTGGCAATGACTGCCTGAAGTCTGGAACCCATGGACGTGACCAGAGACTGGGTTTCCTCCTTTCTGATGCTTTGCCTGAAGTCTGGGACCCATGACCGTGACCAGAGACTGTGTTTCCTCCTTTCTGATGCTTTGCCTGAAGTCTGGGACCCATGGACATGACCAAAGACTGGGTTTCCTCCTTTCTGATGCTTTGCCTGAAGTCTGGAACCCATGGACGTGACCAAAGACTGGGTTTCCTCCTTTCTGATGCTTTGCCTGAAGTCTGGAACCCATGGCCGTGACCAAAGACTGGGTTTCCTCCTTTCTGATGCTTTGCCTGAAGTCTGGAACCCATGGACGTGACCAAAGACTGGGTTTCCTGACCACAGACTGGGTTTCCTTCTTTCTGATGCTTTGCCTGAAGTCTGGAACCCATGGACGTGACCAAAGACTGGGTTTCCTCCTTTCTGATGCTTTGCCTGAAGTCTGGAACCCATGGACGTGACCAAAGACTGGGTTTCCTCCTTTCTGATGCTTTTGCCTGAATGCTTTCTGGAACCCATGGCCGTGACCAAAGACTGGGTTTCCTCCTTTCTGATGCTTTGCCAGGCTCTAACTGCAGCTGTCTTCAGTTGTTCTTTATTTGTGGGTCTTTCTGCCTTTAGTTTTGCCTTCAGCAAGTGAAATGCATGCTCAATTGGCTTGAGATCAGGTGATTGACTCGACCATTGCAGAATATTCCACTTCTTTTCCGTCAGAAGCTTCTGGGTTGCTTTTGCAGTGTGTTTTGGATCATTGTCCATCTGTACTGTGAAGCGCCGTCCAATCACCTTTGCTGCATTTGGCTGAATCTGGGCTGACAGTATATCTGTAAACACTGCAGAATTCATCCGGCTGCTTCTGTCACATCATCAATAACCACCAATGACCCAGTGCCACTGGAAGCCACTGGAAGCCATGCCATGCCCATACCATCACACCGCCTCCACCCATGCCATCACACTGCCTCCACCCATGCCATCACACAGCCTCCGCCCATGCCATCACACTGCCTCCACCCATGCCATCACACAGCCTCCACCCATGCCATCACACTGCCTCCACCCATGCCATCACACTGCCTCTGCCCATGCCATCACACAGCCTCCACCCATGCCATCACACTGCCTCCGCCCATGCCATCACACTGCCTCCACCCATGCCATCACACTGCCTCCGCCCATGCCATCACACTGCCTCCGCCCATGCCATCACACTGCCTCCGCCCATGCCATCACACTGCCTCCGCCCATGCCATCACACAGCCTCCGCCCATGCCATCACACTGCCTCCGCCCATGCCGTCACGCTGCCTCCGCCCATGTCATCACGCTGCCCTCCTCCGCCCATGCCATCACGCTGCCGCCCATGTCATCACGCTGCCTCCGCCCATGCCATCACGCTGCCTCCGCCCATGTCATCACGCTGCCTCTGCCCATGCCATCACACTGTCTCCACCATGTTTTATAGATGACATTGTGTGCTTTGGATCATGAGCTGTTCCAAGCCTTCTCTACACCTTTCTCTTCCCATCATTCTGGTACAGATTCATCTCAGTTTCATCCGCCCAAAGAATGCTTTTCCAGAACTGGTCCGGCTTTTTTAGGTGTTTTTTGGGCTAATCTGGCTTCTCTATTCTTCAGGCTTATGAATGGTTTGCACCTTGTGGTGAACCCTCTGTATTTGCTCTTGTGAAGTCTCCTCTTGATTGTAGACTTTGACAATGATCCGCCCAGCTCCTGGAGACTGTCCTTTCACTTGTCTGGATGTTGTGAATGGGTTCTCTTTTACCATAGAGAGGATCCTGTGATCAACTGAATTCCTGTCTAACAGTATGCTGTTTATTGTCTTATCTTTTGCAAATACATACGTAAGGCCACAGAGCCACGACACGGCACCCTGATTTCTGTGGACGTCCCATGCCTTTTTATTTTGCTGAGCTCACCAGTAGTTCTTCTTTCCTCAGGATGTACCAAACTGTTGATTTGGCCGCTTCTAATGATGCTGCGATCTCACTTTGATGGATTGGTGTCGTTTTGAAGCCTTACAATGGCCGGTGTCACTTGCATGGACAGCTCCTTTGAACTCATGATGGAAGTTTCACAGCAATAGATTCCGAATGCAAATCGCGCACTTAGAATCAACTCCAGACCTTCTATCTGCGTAATTGATAAAAATAAAGGAGTAGCCCACACCTGGCCAGGAAACAGCTTTTGATTTTGTCCCATTTACTTTTGTCCCTTGAAAAAGGGGGGATGGCTGTTCTTAAGAGGCTGTAATTCCTAAACCCTTCCCAATTGATGTACATACCCTCAAATTACACCTGAGAGGTGCACTGTCTGCCCAGATCCATCACAGAACCTTTAAGATAGGTTTTGGTAAATTCCTGAAGAAACCCTGTCCTCTGACCTAACAATATTAAATGCAAAATTACTCAGAGGTTGAGTTTGTCATACAGATGACATATTCTCCTATCAGATGTGGACTATTATGCAAATGCCTGTTGAAATCTCCCCGTC